TTGGGTTCCAACGAAACCCAGCGGCTGGGTTCCTTCGAGAACCCAGCTCTTGGGTTCCAACGAAACCCAGCGGCTGGGTTCCTTCGAGAACCCAGTGGAGAACTGCTCTTCTAGGGTTTGAAAGGGGAAAGAAGGGGGAGAAGATAGTGCGTTTGAGGGGCTGGAGGTGGGCCCCACAATTTAATTTTTTTTGGCCCAAAATCTGACGTGTTTTGTCCATGTGTACAGTTGACGTGTCATAAATTTTGACATGTCATCATACTCAGTTAATTAACGGGACACGTCACTATATTTTTAACGGAAGGACCAAGTTGGGGTAAAATGGGTAAACAGTAGGGACCAAGTCAGGAATTTTTTTAGTTCAAGGACTAAATCGGAGGTCCGTACAATAGTTCGGGGACCAAAAAAGGGTTTTAACCTTAATAATTCAATTATGTGGTTTGCAGGCTAGCTAGTTTGGAGAATGCGCCTTGCCGGTTCTTGAGCTGAGCGAAGGTTCCGCGCTCTACCACCTTCCCGTCTGCCACAAATGCTATTGAGTCCAGTTTCTTTATGGTGTTCAGCCGGTGAGCCACCACAACCGTCGTCCTTCCCACCATTATCCAGTCCAACGCTTCCTGAACAAGCTGCTCCGACTGCAAATCCAGAGCACTTGTCGCCTCATCCAGCAACAATATTATCGGGTTCCGAATTATGGCCCTGGCAATTGCAATCCTCTGCTTTTGCCCTCCTGATAATTGTACACCCCTTTCCCCACATTCCGTCTCATACCCATCTTTCAATGCACTGCAAACAAATAGTACGAGTTTAAGTTTTCAAGTGAAGGAACAAGAATGTTTGGATTTTGAATTATAAAAGTTGACAAAAACAAAAAGACTTACGAGATAAATTCATGGGCATTTGCAGCTCTAGCAGCCTCCACCACTTCATTTTCAGAGGCATCAAACTTTCCAAAGACAATGTTGTCGCGGATGCTACCGGAATATATCACAGGTTCTTGGCTAACGAGGGTCGTATGGTTCCTGTACCATTGAATGTCAAGTTCCCTTATGTCAACACCGTCTACCCTAATTGATCCACTCTCAACATCATAGAATCTTTGAATTAATCCGATCACAGTGGATTTCCCGCACCCACTTTTTCCGACTAGTCCAATGCTCGTCCCAGGTTTCACCTCCAGGGAGAAATGCCGGAGCACAAGGGTATCTGGCCGACTTGGGTAGGAGAAATCTACCTTCCTAATCTCTATTCTTCCTGTTATTTTCTCTAACTTTCTTCCATTACTAGTCCCGTCTCTAGCCTGAAACAAAGTTGGTTAGTTCAACAAGATTCATTTTTCGACTCAATCTAGGATTAAGGGAATTCTCTGCTTACTTGAGATGAGCCAGGAATTAAGGATTGTCGGTCGATGATCTCAAACACAGAAGCAACTGCTGTTGAGCCCTTGGCAAGATCAGAAGTCATGCTCCCTGCGTCTGCTATGACCTTTCCGGTGCTCACCAAGATGTAGTATGTTTTGAACACATCTCCTGCGGAGATCTCTCCCTTTTGAACCAAGGTACCACCATACCAGAAATCCAGAGCCCATGACATGAAAGAAAGGCATAGAGCAGATCCCATCCCAAATCCTGCAAGCCATGACCTTTTCCTTCCCTCTTTCCTTGGTTCCTCTTGAGCCTCATCGAATATTTGAAGAACCTTTCCTACACTTCCAAATGAAGTCACGATTCTGTGATTATAAACTGCTTCAACTGCAATTTGGGTACTTTGATTCTGTGCCTTGACAAAATTAGTAGTGATGCTAGAAAGCAGGACTTTCCGAGTGTAGAAACAGAGAATAGTCAAAGGTTGGACTGCTATCATGACTAATGCTAACTTCCAAGCAACGGCTAAACCCAAGATCATGGCTATGGTGACAGCAGAAGTTGTCTGAACCATCAATGATAGTCTGTCTGCGACAAGGGTTTTAACCATTGAAGCCTCATTGCTCAATCTGGAACATAAAGCTCCACTTGAGTTTTTCTCGTCATCAAACCAGGCAACTTCAAAAGTCAAGATGTTCCGCAGCATTTTCTGTCGGACCCTCTTGGTTAGCCTCTCACCCATGTAAGCAAAATTGTAATGTTGGATAAGGTTCAGAGTGAGGGAAAACAAAGTAAGTGAACAGAAAATCAATGAGTAAGTACGTATCCGAGCTTGCATTTCCTCGTGGCTTTTTGCAAAGAAAGCTGAAATCATCCCACCGATGGTTAAGGCATAGAGAGGTTGGACTGCACCAAAAACTATTGCAGAGAAGCTGCCAATCAAGCCTTGCTTCCATTCAGGGGAATTTAAGGAGAGAAGCCGGGTGAAGGAAGGAGGTGGGTGAGACACTGGTTTTGGGCTTTCAATATCATGTAATGGTGTGACAAAGTTGGCAGGAGTGGATCTTCCTGTGCTTATCCTACCAGCACTGCCCCTTCCAACAGAAGATATCCTAGTTTCAAGATTTCCTTCATGGTCATCGGTGCTAAACTGTCTCTGCAACTTTGCAAGCTTTGCATAATGACCATTTTTTCTATTTATGAGATCATTGTGAGATCCTACTTCCATGATGCAGCCATTGTCAACCACTGCAATGAGATCTGCATTTCGAACAGTTGAAAGCTTGTGGGCAACAACCTGAACACATTAAATTAAAAGCATAACAAATTAGCATCCATAATTGTTGCCTAATGTTTGCCTTCTCAATGCGGACAAGAGAAATGCAGAAAGAAGCTTAATTCATGTATCTGATTGCTCAAAACAAAAATACATTACTCTGATGACTTTAACAAACACATATATATGGTTGTTTAACCAGTCAATTACCAGAGTGGTTCTTCCCATGGAAGCCTGATCCAATGCATTTTGCACTAGGGTTTCTGATTCAGAGTCAAGAGCACTTGTTGCTTCATCAAGTAGGAGAATCACTGGGTTCTTGATGATGGCTCTAGCAATAGCAATTCTTTGCTTTTGTCCTCCTGATAAAAGTGCTCCTCTTTCCCCAACCTATTAATTACAATACTTAAATCTTGTTAAAAGAAAAATCCTGAAACTGAACAAGAAGAAAAAACAAAAACAACAAAAAAAGAAAAAATTTAAAACCATACCTTTGTATCATACCCTTCAGGAAGCTGCCTTATGAAGTTGTGGGCATTTGCAGCCATGGCTGCTGTGGTGACTTCCTCCACTGTTGCATCTAACTTTCCAAACATTATGTTTTCCTTTATTGATGTCCCAAACAATGCATGTTCTTGACTGACAAGTCCCATTTGTCCTCTCATCCATTTCAATTGGAGTGTTTTTATATCATGACCATCAATCTTCACAACTCCATCATTGGCATCATAGAAACGTTGAACTAATGCAATTGCAGTGGATTTTCCACTTCCACTGGCACCCACAAGAGCAACAGTTTTTCCTGCTTCAATTTTGAGGCTAAAGTCTTTGAGAACAATGGAATCAGGACGAGAAGGGTATGTGAATTTGACATGCTCAAATTCTATTTCGCCACGGATCCTGTCTAATACAATTCCACTTGTGTCTTCACCATCAATTTCTGGAGTCCGGTCAATCCTCTGAAATATTCTAGTAGCAGCAACAGTTGCTTCTGTGAAGTACTTGACATCTGGAAGTGCCATTCCAAGTGACCTGTAATCAGTTGATCATAAGACCTTAATTAGGAACTGCAAATGAACAATTCTATGGAGTATGAAGATTATTCTCAATTAACTTAGTTATCCCATTCAAGTACCATTAGGAGTAGTCACACCTTCCCTTACTCTACTTTCTTCTATGAATATATGAAGTTTATTTGTGAAGAAAACCAATACATGTATATGTATATTAGTGTTCTGAACTGTTGCATACATTTGAACTCCAAAGTTAATTAGAGGGTACCAAATACTAACTCAGTTAAACTTTTGTTACTACAAAGTAGATGCTTTTTACATACCAAGTTAGTTAAGCTCTTCTTACTATAGGAATGCTAATCCACTAAAAGCTTTAAGTCCAACGTTTATCTTTAAATATAAAGAGAAGCTACATAAAATGTGATGAAATTATTAGAGGATTATTTTATTAGGAGTATATTTCATTGAACATTCATTCAGCAGTTAGCACACCACAAATATTTATGAAGAAAGGAAAGACATAATATTTGAAATATATGAAAAAGGAAAAGACACAAGAAAAGTGACTTACAGTCCACCCAATACAAAGGAGATGCCAGCAGCATATACCCTTCCTCCACTCTCTCCCTTGTACATAACCAAACGACTTCCGTACCAAGCAAGGAAAGACCATATGGCAAAAGAAATTCCTGTGCTCCCTATGGCTAGACCTTTTGCTATGCCTTGCTTGATTCCTAGCTTTGTTATTCCATCCAATACAGCTGAATATCTCTCGATAATTCTACGTTCAGCAGTAAAGGAATAGACAGTCTTGATGGAGCTTAAAGCTTGCTCCACAATGGTGTTTGCTTTCCCATATTCTTTATAAGCTTTCTTGGATAAATATAGAAGATACTTCCCATAAATCATTCCGGGAATTATGAGGAGAAGCAGTGTTGGGAAGGCTACTAAAGACAGTCTCCATGAAAAATAAGTGGAGAATGCAAGCCCTGACATGAATACAGATGAGTTCATCAAAAATAAGGGTACCTGTAAAATTCAAAGAATTATGTTAAGAACAATTGAATTTCTTTTGACTTTGACTAGAAAGAACGATTTTTCTCATTTTTTCCTGGTATATTTGATTGTGACTAACTCAATAAGAATGATCATCCTCTTTCCAAAATCTCTCCTCGTCTGTCCTGAGGTAAAAATCTAAGACATCTATCTTAAAAATCTGAACTTTAATTAATCATCCAAACATACTCAAAAGATGATTCCAAAGTAAGATGTCTTAAAAGGAAGAAGAAGAATTAAAGAGAGAAAAGAAAATTGAGTGAAGTGTATGGATGTTGAAAAATTTATGATGAAATTTGAACCTTTTCACTTAGAACTTCTTGAATAAGCGAAGTATCTTTTGATATGCTATTGATAATTTCTGAAGTGGTTGCCTCCTGTGAATCAAAGAAGCCAACTTCTTGTCTAAGAATAGCTTCCAAATACTTGTAACGAATCTTCAGCACCTGTCTCTCACTGGTTTTGCTCCAACAATAACCCTCTGCAAACCATTAATCAAGATTAATTAACAATTAGTTTAACCTAATGAAAAACATTTTAAAATTCAGGACATTCTAGGGTTTCTCAAATCCATGAGTTAATGGCTCCTTATTGCATTACTACGACCTTTTTGCAGATTTGATGCTGTTTGAATTGAAAATTCTTGTTACAAATTCAAATCTTGCAATACTAAGAACATGTCAAACAGTCAAATCCTCAGAAAGCAGAACAAATCATATGTTTGTGTAAGTTAAAAATGAGTCTTGAAAATTACCCATGAAAGCCACTAGCAGGACTGCAAGTCCCAAGTATACATAGTATAAACTGCACTGCAAAACAAAAAATCCAAAAAGGGAAACGTGAGAAGAAAGAAAGAGCTAGAGAGAAAGAGGGACCAATTGAAAGCAATTTCCAAGTTCATACCTTTTCGACTTCAGTCATGAAATCGCCATGATTTTGTTGGGTCCGACCATTCCCCAAGCTGTTCATGAGACGGCTGGCGAAAACCAACAAGCAGTTGGTGGACATCCCATCTCCAATGGCACCAATAGTACCGAACACCATAAGCAAAATATCAACCCAATCAGCATATCTGAAGATTATGCCAATATTATGACTCCTCTCTTTCTTCCCCTGCGTTTCTGTTTTCTGTTCCTCCACCCCATTCTTCCCCGGAGAACCCATTTTTGTTCTCATGGAAGAAAAAAAAAAGAACCCACAATGCCAAAGTATAATCATCTCAGGGTATATATATATATATATATAGAGAGAGAGAGAGAGAGAGAGAGAGAGAGAGAGCAAGTAGCATGGTGAAAGCAACGGGTGATTTTCCATGAAGCAACCTATGATATGTCTCCTTTTCTGCTTTTTGTGGACTACTTGGAAAAGAAAAGCTGTCTCTTTTATGTGAGTTGGTGATTCTTCTTTTCATTACCATTACCATGATCGGTGTAAAAGGGAATAGGCCAGTTTGAACGAGAGGGACCAATAAAAGACCTCCAAGTACCCTACAATCCCAAAGAAGTGAAATATACATATATTTGCGAGTTGTAGCTAGCTAGATGAAATTTGTCTTTTCAGTATTCCATAGTCAAACAGGGACACCAATAACCTTTTTAGATTTGTAGAAAAACAAAGAATAGTTAGGCACCTTTTTTCATCAGGTACAGGAATAGTTAGGCACTTTTCAGTTCAGAAAAAAAAAAAAGAATAGTTAGGCACTTCACGAGCATGAGAGTTTGAAATTAGTGCTTATGAGTCTAATTTAATCATTAATAATTATTGTAATTTAATACTTAATACTTTTATTAATTAGAATCGGATCTTTAGGTTCAATGATTCGACCCCAAGTTTTAAAGTGCTTGGGTGAAGTGGATCCCAAACTTTAAAGTGCTTTAGTGAGACGGTCGAAGTTTCGAGTTCTATCACCGTTTTAAATACTCTCTTCTCCCATCCCATCCCTCAAATTGTACATTGTTAAAAAAAAAATACTTTTATTAATTAGAATAGATAAAATTATTCTTGACAGCTAAATTTAAAATGTTTTATTTTATAATAAATAATAGTTGCTTTTTAATAAAAAATTTATCCTAAATTAATTATCTACTATTATCCCCCCCTTAACCGTAGTACTTCCTTCTAAAATGATAAACATTTTTTTATTTATAAATTTTTTTATCAGGTGGAATTGCTAAACAAAAATTATATATAAGAAAAAAAATTTCAATTGATAGTTATTTGTTATGTTAATTTTTTACATAATTTTTTATTTTAAAGTAAAAAAAATTAAATTAGAACTATTTTTGTTGAATGAAGAGAGTAAATAACAACTTAATATTCTTTATGAGAGTTTGCTGGTGATTGCATGTGCAATGAATCACAACTTCTTGTGCCTAACGAAAAAAACAATGTCATAAACCACAGATTTATCTGTGATTATTTAGATATTTTTTAGTAGGAAATGCGTGTTGGTTAAAGAGCAGATATATGTAGTTGGTGGATATGGGAGGATATAGGTTTTGGGTTTTGAAGTTACTCAATTGCTGAATGGTAAAAAGGGATCCGAAAGGATATTAATGAAGAAAAACATCTAGACTACTTTTGGTCCCATAAGTTAATACTACTTAAAATTACACTTTTTTTATAAAAAAAAAGGTCTAATTTGCTTGCACATGAGCCTTTAGTCTCATATAGGTTAGTTAAAAAAAAAATATCATTTAATTTCCTAATGAGCAATATATGGCATAAATATTTTCGTGCAAATTAACTTCAATACATATAAATATCTAAATAAATAAATAAATAAATAAAACAATTTTAGTATGTTCTTCTCCTTTTTTCTAAGTGGGGTATCATTCGATATTGCTTTTCTAAAAAGAAGTAGTATTATTCTGTTATTAAAATCATAATTAATAATAATCATTGGGGGTTAGCTGCATATGCATTGATCCAATTCTGTCATATTCCACTCTGCCTTTAACTGTATCTTTTGGACTTCTTCTGAAATTTTGAGAAAATACTTAAAATGGGCGATGGCCACCAAAACGTATCTAACAAATCTGTGTATCGCAAAGATTGCGCGATTTGCATAATCCCATAAATAAAACTCATGATGACAAGGGTTTAAATTCAAGCTCTTGTCTTTATCCTTTATTTGGTGTTTGCAGCAGACCTAATTGATTTGAGCATCTACACTTGTGGTCCTCTGAACGCGTCTTTTCAAATGTTGCTTCATTTTTAATTACTCTTATTATTTAATTTATTTTTAAAAGACCCTTCATTTCAATGTTGTTAAGAGATTCAAAAGAAATTTTTTAAAATTTGTATTTATATACATTATTTTATTAAAGCTACATAGTTCCATTATAAAAAAAAAGTTAACAAAATGTAGTAGGACTCTTGCAATAGAATCTCCTATAGGAGAGGTTGAAGATGCTCTTACAGGCACTCCATCAAAAAACCTAAGGATTTGAAAATGAGACTATTCCCGGACCATAACTTGTCTTGGCTAAACTATACATTTAATCCCTTACTTTATTAAATTTAAAGTTTTTAATTCTTTATTTTATATTATAAAGTTTTTAACCTTTAAATTTAAAGGTTTGAAGATTTTAGCTTATTGATTAATGGAATCCGTTAACTTTTCGTTAAAATAAGAATATAATATTTACAAGATTAGTCCTTAAAAATTAAAAATGTAATAATTTAGTTTCAAAAGTTTAAAATTTGAAAAAAAAAAGTAAATTAAAAAGAATTAACAAATGACTTTTCCATGTACACTACAACAATATTAGATATCTATAATAAATCGAGTGATTAACTTAATTTAAAGAAAGAATTTTGATTGAGATTAAAAAAAATCTCTTAACTGAGTTAAGACAAAAATTCTAAGAAATTAAAAGAATACAATTAAGAAATTTTCTTTAGTTTCAATCAAATTTTTTTCTTTAGATTGAGCTAATCACTTGATTTTATTTTAGATATTTAATATTGTTCTCATTTACGTGGTAAAGATATTCATTAATTATTTTTAATTTACTAATTTTTAAAATTTTTAAACTTTTAGAATTAAATTTTTATATTTTTAATCTTTGAGAACTGATCTTGTAAAATATTTTATTTTCACTTTAATTGAAAGTTAATTGATTCCATTATTCTGGGGGCTAAAATCTTCAAATATTTAAGTTTAAGGCTTAAAAACTTCATAGTATAAAATGAGAGACTAAAACCTTCAAACTTATTAAGGTGAGAGGCCAATTGTATACTTCATCCACTTGTCTCTTAATTACCACAAGAGAACTGACACCAATATAAACTCACAATGTAATGATTTGTTGGATGAAATGCTTACATGTGTTTAATTTCTTTAAAGTTACCTGCATTAGGTGCTTGTCAAAAAAATGAAATAATTGTCATTGATGATATGGGTAAAAATAAAAAGAAAATAGTTATTGTTTATGTGGGACCTATATAATGGACCATATAAAGATCCAATAAAGTCTTTTTGCTCATGTCATTAATGACAAAATAGCTTTCTGATAGGTCAATATTTAAGGAGCCACTTTAATAAAAGGATTTATAGTGACAAAATAGTTTTATGATAAGTCAATACTTAATGAGTTATTTTAATAAATGAATTTATCTATAAGGGTATAGGGTAAAAAGTAATGATTGAGTAATTATTATTTAATAATAATTATTTTTTATCTTAAAAATGATGAAGTTAACTTTTATTTTAATAGTAGGTGCCATGTGTTAAATTTTTATTAATTTATTTTAAATTAGAAAATAGAAATTATCTTTTTAATTAAAAATTATATATATTTTAAAATACTACAATTATTATTCAATTATTACTCCTTATCTTGTGCCCTTATATAGACAAACTCTTAATAAAATTAGAAACTCTATGTTGGCTTTCCATCTCCATCCAATAAAGTTTTGTATAGTAAAAATAGTGAGTTTGAGTCCTTGAATAAAAAAACTAGAAAGTTAAGTTCCTTGCTTAGGAAAAAAACTTTGAAGTTTGGATTAGTAAACTTTTGAAAGTTGGAGTAGTCCTTTTCTATACCATGGATGCCAAGCCAACGAAAAAGAATTAGATGCTTCAGACAGAGTCGGTGTGCAAGTGGCCCAATATATTGGATTATGTTGTGCATAATTAGTTGTTTCAATTATTTTTAGTTTAGT